CTGTACCAGTCAGATCTGATTTGATGGTACACTCACACAAAAATAATAAAATAAAATAAAAATTTATATTAAAAAAATCAAAACAACTATAAGATATTATCTCACCTCAGTAACAATAGCAAAGTTCAACAGAGCAGCAAACAACAAATGTTGGCAAGGTAGTGGAGAAACTGGAACCCTTATTCACTGTTGGTAAGAGTGTAAAATGGTGCAACCACTATGGAAGGCGATATGGCACTTTCTCAAAAAGTTGGAAATAGCAATATCATTTGACCCAGCAATTCCACTACTGGGAATATATGCTAATGAAACTATAATTGCCATCCAAATAAATATATGCACACCCATATTTCTTGCTGCATTGTTCACAATAGCAAAGAGATGGAAGCAACCCAAGTGCTCATCAACAAACGAATGGATAGAGAAGCTGTGGTACATTCACACAATGGAATACCATGTAGCACTGAAAAACAAGGAACTCATAAAATATTAAAACGGATGACCCTGGAGGACATTATGTTGAGTGAAATGTCTCAGTCACAAAAGGACAAATACTGCATAATGCCATTGTTATAAAACAGGACTGACACGAGGTTGAGGGAAACTAAAAAAAGAGGGGATAAATTTGTAGATAAACCAGTATAAAATAAAACAAAATAAACTTCACTGATGAGGGAAAGAACTGTCTAAAAGAAATATATGGTTAGGTATTATTTGCATGACAATAGTCCAGAATAAGAGGTGCACAGCAAAGTGGACTGAGGTGAGTGGGGAGGGAGGAAACTGTACAACAATGAATGAATGGAAATCCAAGTTTTCTGTAAACTTTTGTTAAAATACCAATTAAAAAAATGAAAATAAAGGAAAATATAAATAAAAGAGCTTTGTAACATTTGCCCGAAGAGGGCAGAGGCTGAAACCAGATGCTGAGGGAGTTTGAAGACAGAGAGAAGTCTGTCTAAGTATGTCTAAGACACTACCCAGAGAGAAGAACTGAGTCTTTCCTGAGACTGAATTATAACATGTTGCTTTCCTAATAAGGAGCTCTGGTAAGGAGTTGACACTACCAATTCAAAGGTAGGTTGTTTGAATTCACCAACAGCTCCATAGGAGAAAGATGGGCGATCTCCTCCCTGAGACTTACAGCCTTTGAAAACCTGCTGGAGGGTCAGCTAGGAGTCAGTTCTGACCCAACAGCACATAACATTTCCCTAATCAACTCTGAATTTTACATAGCCATTGCAAAGACTTTTTTAACTCCACAGAGAAGCAGAGAGCACTGTGGGTGGGACAGTGGTGACAGAATTGGTCACAAGATTGGAGAGAGAAGGAATGTCTGTCTGATCACCAGCTCACCAATTGGCCTTGGGCTGCTGATCTCATTTCTCCTTCCCTCTTTTAGTTGGAGGAAGTCAGAAACCTCTGCCAAGCCATTTTTAAACTTAACATTATCAATTTAACATTATCAATCTGTGGACAAAAAAGAACTTATTTTTATTTTGTTTCTATGATGAATAAGATCTATCTCTAATGCAAAAACATGATTCACTTACATAAAAAAACCTCTGTATGTATAGATAAATTTAAATTTATAGAAAAAAAAACAAACCTAAAAGGACACATTTTAAAGTATTAACAGTGTTTACCTAAGTGGGGAATGAGAAGCAAGCATTTTATATATATTACATACCCACCCACATATTCTTTCATATAACTTTCATAAAATACATATTTATAAGAGCTTAAATATGTATTTTTTGTGAAAGTTATATGAAAGAATATATGGGTGGGTACGTAATATAAATAAAATGCTGGGCCCATTGGCAGCATCATGATAGATGGTGAAGAGATTGAGATTGTTAACAGCTTTAGTTTGCTTGGCTTGACAATTAACACTCTTGGTACCAGCAGCCAGGAAATCAAAAGACAAACTGCATTGGGAAAATCTGCTGTTAGGGACATCTCCAGCATACTGAAGAGCAATGATGTCAGTCTGCAGACTAAGGTGTGCCTAGGCAGTGGTCTTCACAATTACATGCTATGCATCAGAAAGCTGGACAATGACTAGGAATGAAAGAAGAATTGATGCCTTTGAGCTGTGGTGCTGGATAAAAGTACTGTATATACCATGGACTGCCAGGAGAACAAACAGGTTCGTACTGAAGAGGGTGAAACCAGGCTGCTCCTTGGAGGCAAGGATTCTGAAGTTTTGTCTGACATATTCTGGGCATGTTGTAAGGAAGGGCCAGTCCTTGAAGAGGGACGTCATGCTTGGGAAGGTGGAAACACAGCTTAAGAGAGGAAGACCCTCTACGAGCTGGACTGACTCAGTGACTGGGGTAATGGGGGTAGGTGTGTCAGAGACAACAAGGTTGGCTCAGCATAGAGCAGGGTTCAGAGCTACTGAACATAGGGTCACTTATGAGTCGCAGGTGACTTGACGACACACAACAATAACAACAACAAAACTCTTATAAGAACATATAGTAAAGGGCCAGTAGAGGATCAGCAAAAGAGAAGAGGACCCTCACCAAGATGACCTGATGCACAGCTGCAACCATGGGCTCATACCCAGCAGCAATTATGAATATCACAATAAAAGGTTTGCTGATTTGTATCTTACAATATATGTAAAAGGATAGATAGTATGTTTCTGCATTTTCTGGCCATGCTTTATTCAGATATTGTTTGTGAAAGCTTCAAAAACTGACATAAAAGAAAGGTGGGAAGTGAGCTCTGGTGGCCTAGTGGCAAGAAGCTGCACTATAATCCCAGAGGCGCACAGTTCGAATCCACCAGATGCTCTGCTGGGGAAGAAGAGACAATCTCCTCCTGTACCAGTCAGATCTGATTTGATGGTACACACAAATAATAAAATAAAAATTTAAAAAAAAATTATAAAGCAAAAGAAAGGTGGGAAAAGGAAAAAAAAAGAAAGGTGGTTGCAGCCTGGTCCAGAAGGTCTGATGTGTGCCAAATAAGAGCCTTAGCTCTGCTCTAACAGGAAGCCCCCAAAACACAGAAGGAGAGAATCAAGTTTCTGCTTTAGAAAAGTCACTCACTTTTCCCTCTCTTCTTTTCCACATACAAAGATGACTGAGGAAAAGAATATGTATGCATTAACTTGTCATATAAGTGAATCCCTAGATAAAAACAGTTATTGTAAAAGTCCACCCACCCAAGGAGAGGGCAGTAGAAATTAATAAATAGATAATAAGTACTTATTATGATGTGTTAAGGGAAAGACAATATATAATAAATGGATGATTAGACATTGTGGACATTGTAATTAATGTTATATAATAAAAGGTGTATGAATGAATGAAAAACCAATGTTGTTTGTTGTTGTTGTTAAGTGCCATTGAGTCGTAGGTGACTCATAGCGACCCTATGAACCAAAGTCCTCAATACTTGTGTGGCTTTCATCCTTTCTCCAGGTTCACAGAGTTTGCAGAGGCAAGCTATTACAGAAGTGGATGCTACTCCTGCTTCCAAGCTTGTTTTAATCGGGGAACTCCACCAAACACTGCCCACATGGGTAACCATTATCACATTTGACACATCAATGTCACAGTGTTCAACTTTACAGCTGTATGACCTAGAAGAAAGTTTGACCAAAAACAATTAAAAACAGGCCTGAGGGCCACTTTGTAAATTTTCATCCAAGATATAATTTAAATGTTAGAGGAAAAAGAAATATACTCCTCCCACTGCCCCCACCCAAATATATTACAGGCCATTAAGGAAGGTCTCTACCCACTAAAGGCAGCCAGTTCAAATCCACCAGCTGCCCTGGGCAATTTCCTCCAGTGCAACTTCCAGCCTCTGAAGACCCACTGAAGGGTCAGCTATGAGTTCTGACTCAAGAGAAATGACTGACTTTGCATAGGTCAATAAGGAAGCTCTGGTGGCATAGTTATAGGGAGTTTAGCTCCTACTTCAATTTGAATCCAACAGTGGCTCCATGGGAGAAGGCGAGGCCTATGTGATTTACAGCCTCCAATAACCCCATGGAAGGAGGCAAGGTGGTTAAGGACTTGGTTAAGAGAAAAGCCAGCAGCGTAAACTTACCTCTCACTCTCAGAAGAAAGATGTCACAATTCATAAAGATCCATAATGATATGGATTTAATCCATAAAAATAACAGTTTGAGGAACCCTACAAGGCAGTTTTACTCTGTCCCACAGGATTGCTATAAGTCAGAATTGACTCCATTACAACAAGTTTTTCGAGTTTATAGGCAATTAGCCAGAGACTTAATTTCTCACTAGATATCTCTCATCTTTTTTGGCTAAGTCCTTGAACAATGAAGCGAGACAGCACATTTCTGGTCATTTGGCTAAACATGTAGTTAAACAGACCTCACCACATTGGTTCTCTGTCTTAAGCTGCTTTGGGTTGCTGTTCCTACCTGTTCCATTCAAGTAGTCCTTGGCCAGCTCAAATAGCCTGAGGTGCATGTTGGTGATAGGATTAAAAGAACCACAAGCCAGGAGCACCACCTCAGTCTTCTCGGACTTTTCCATGGTGAGAATTCGAAGTTGCTGATCTAAATGGAATACTCTGACATTTCCCTTGTTATCTACAAAGGAAAAAGAAAATAAGTTCAGTCACTGATCTTCTGATGTCTTTCTATATCCTCATTTAAACAAATGGATAGACATATTTGGCTTCAATGACTATGTTCTATCAACTGAAAAAAATAGTCCAATTCTCGAAGTCTTATTTTCAACCTGACTTCTAAAGCAGTAAGAGCAGGAATATAACTTTGAAGACTAAGGGACCCCTGATGCAGCCAAGGTATTTTCAATCAGTTCTTATGTGTGTGAAAGTAGAGCAATGAATAAGGAAGATCAAAGAACTGATGCCTTTGAATTGTGATTCTGGCAAAGAATATTGAGTATCCAAGGACTGACAAAAGAATAAACAAATCTGTCTTAGAAGAAATGCAGGCAGAGTGCTCCTTAGAAGCAAGGATGGTAAGACTTTATCTCAAACGCTTGGAGTATGTTTTCAGGAGGGTCAGTCCCTGGAGAACATGAGCCTGGGAAAGCAGAAGGTCAGTAAAAGAGAATATCCTTAATGAGACGGGTTGACACAATAATTATGACAGTGGGTTTAAGCATGGCAGAAATAATAAGGATGAAACATAAGGTTGCTATGAATGGAGCTCATCTGACAACATCTTAACAACAACAACAAGATATGAAGTTCACATCCCCAACTTTCATGATTTGCTTCAGTCAAAAGAATGCAGTGTGTGCCTGTTCTGAGTTTAGACGCTGGCCTGTATACTTCCAGTCACTTACAGAGCCCTCCTCTGTCTGGTGGCTTAGAGGTAAGCATTTGCCCAAGCAGTTCAAATCCATCAGCTGCTCCAGGGACAAGATGGCTAATCTCAAGCTCCTCCAATGAGATTTACAGCCTCTGAAGACCTGTGGAGGCTCAGCTATAAGGCGGTTCTGACTCCATGGCTCATAACAACAATAACCTTGGCCAGGTGAATGAGTTTCCGCATGCCAGTGACAGAATGACAAAAAGATGTGGAAGAGTGTTGAGGTGACAAAAAGATGTGGAAGAGTGTTGAGGTGACAAAAAGATGTGGAAGAGTGTTGAGGTGACCGCTGAAAAAGAGCCAACCATGAGTTATGTAACTGAGGCTTCTTAACCAGCAAACCCGCAGCCAACCTGCTCAGTCACACGACACCAACGAGCCAGGGGAAACCAACGGCGGGGAGATCTGCTGGTCTGAATCAGCACACCTACAAGCTGACCCTTGATATAGTAAAGATACATTTTTCTTCCAAGAGAGCTGAGGGGACAGGTAGATCGTGTCCATGTTGGGCTTCACTGTCCAGGGTTTTTCTCTGGGAAACCTCAGGGCTATATTTTTTTTGCTTTTCCCCTTTACTGGTCAGATTACACAGCAGTATCCATCAAGATTCTGTCCGCATACTGTAATAGTTACCAAGTGTGTAGATTACAGCTCAGACATTTTTTATGGTTGGGCAAGTCACCTAATTTCTTTTCTTCCAATCTTTTCTTCAATCTTAAAAGAGAGGAAATAACAGCAGCCACTTCACAGAACTGTTTTGAGGGTTACAGAAGATGATACATGCACAATACATAAAACTGCTTTTTGGCAGCGAGTAGGTTCTCTATAAGAACAAGATGAGCCATCTTGTCCCTGGAGCAGCTGATGGATTTGAACTGCTTGGGCAAATGCTTACCTCTAAGCCACCAGAGCACTCGTGATGCAAGAGTTAACCTCTCAGCTGCTAATCAAAGGGCTGGCAGTTTGAACACCTTCAGTGGTAGAAGGAAGACTTGGTAATCTGTGTCCGCAAAGCTAATAGCCAGGAAAACCCATATTAGGGTTCTTCCACTCTGTCACATGGGATCACCTACCTGAAACTGCCTCTGAGAGCACTCAATAAATAATGTATGCATGCAGCTTCTATTAATGTTATATATCGTATTGCTACAAAGACAACATTTCTGTTCTACCACCTACTGCCCTTGAGTTGATTAGGACTCTTAACCATCATAAAAATATCAACAATCAATGGTGACTAAGTTTATAAACACAGTGTATGAGAATGATTATATGAAACACAATGTGAATGAAGGAATGTGTGGAACAACACAATGTACAGGAATGAAATATAATGTATGTAAGTTTTGAATGCAAATCAATTATTTAAAAAACTCAAAATTCAAATGCTCAACTGACTATGTCTTTAGTGAACTTATCTTTTCCTGGAGGTTTTTTCTACTGGAACTCCCTAATCTGGACTGAAAATTTCTTATTTTTTGGAAATTTTCCCCACTACTATCTTGATTTGGAGTCCAATCTCCTTGTCTTTCTTACCTTATATTCCCATTTTTCTAAAAGGAACACATCTAAAGTAGTTTCATAATAAAAGGTACATAGAAGATAAACTCTTTCATGTTTGGTAGGCTGAGAGGAACTGTCTTGTAATATTATAAAGGTGTTTCTTTGTTTTCTAGCATCAAACACTGCTGTTGAAAGTCTGATGCAATCCTGATTCTCAGTTCACTGTAGGTAACCTACTTTCTTCTTTCTGGAAGATTTTAAAAATATTCCCCTCATCCCCAGTGCCCAGAAATACAATAATATCTTAGTAGAATATTTTTCAGTAATAGTCTAGAAATCAAATCATTCCATTTTAATTTATTCCTTCACAATGCTACATATTACTACTTATAAAAAATAAAACACTTGATATTATGAAGTGAATGAAAACAAGTGTTCTTATATATCCAAATTCTGTTTAAAAGGAATCATTTTGAGAGGCTAAAAAATTTCAGCAATG